ATTTAGAGATCATCTCAAGAACAGATATGATGCATTAGACACTAATGACCAAAATCCAGAAGAGCTGTGGGATGACATCAAGAACATCATACAGCAGGAAAGAAAAAGGTCATTAAGAAGACAAAATGAATGTCAAGAAATGAAGGAAGAAAGACCAAAATGAATGTCAAAAGAGACTCTGAAACTTGCTCTCCAGCATAGCAATGCTAAAACAAATGGAAGAAATGAGGAGGTAAAAGAGTTGAACAGAAGATTTCAAAGGGCAGCTTGAGAAGATAAAGTCATATATTATAATGAAAAGTGCAAAGATCTGGAGTTCGAAAACTAAAAGGGAAGGACACGCTCAGCATTTCTCAAGCTGAAAGAATTTAGGAACAATTCAAGCCTCAATCACAATAATGAAGGATTCTTTAGGCAAAATACTGAATGATGCAAAAAGTATCAAAAGGAGATGGAAGTCATTTAAACAGAACATTTAAATGATGGAAGTTATTTAAACAGAAAAAGGGGACACTGAATGGTTTAAAATCAAGAAAGGTGAGGGCCAGGGTTATATTCTTTCACTGTACCAAAACTAAATGGTTGATGTTCAATCATTTTAAGAGGTAGCATATAGTCAAGAGCCAATGTTATTGAAGGAAGAAGTCCAAGCTGCACTTAAGACATTGGCAAAGAGCAAGGCATTGGGAATACAAGGGCAACAAGTGAAATCTTTCAACAAACTGATGTGATATAGGAGGCACTCACTCATCTATGCCAAGAATTTGGACGACAGCTACCTGGCCAACTGAGTAGAAGAGATCCATACTTGTGCCCATTTCAAAGAGAGGTGACCCAATGGAATGCGAAATCATTGGGCAATATCATTAATATCGCAGGCAAGTAAAACTTTGCTAAAGATAATTCAAAAACAGTTGCAACAGTATGTTGACAGGGAACTGCCATAGGTTCAAGTCAGATTCAGACGAGGACATGGAACGAGGAATATCATTGCTGACGTCAAACAGATTTTGGCTGAAAGCAGAGAATACTAGAAAGATGTTTACCTGTGCTCTTGATTGTGTTGACCATGGCAAATTATGGACAGCACTGCAGAGAATGAGTATTCCAGAACATTTACGTGCTCACGAGGAACCTATCCATAGACAGTCATTTAAACAGAACAAGGGGACACTGAATGGTTTAAAATCAAGAAAGGTGATGGTCAGGGTTATATTCTTTCACCATACTTATTCAACCTGTGTGCTGAGCAAATAATCTGAGAAACTGGATTATAAGAAGAAGAAGGTGGCATCAGGATTGGAGTAAGGCTCATTAACAACCTACAATCAATATGCAGATGATACAACCTTGCTTGTTGAAAGCGAACAGACTTAAAACACTTACTGATGAAGATCAAAGACCACAGCTTTTGGTATGGGTTGTATGTACCTCAGTGTAAAGAATACAAAAATCCTCACCACTGGACCAATAAATAATATAATGATAAATGGAAAAAGGACTTCACTTTGCTTGGATCCACCATCAACATTCATGGAAACAGCAGTCAAGAAACCGAATCACGTATTGTATTAGGCAAATCTGCTGCACAAGACTTCCTTAAAGTGTTCAAGAGCAAAGATATCAGTTTGAGGACTAATATGTGCCTGACAGAAGACATGGTATTTTTAATAACCTCATAGGCACGTGAAAGTTGGATAAAGACTGTAAAAGAATTGATGCACTTGAGTTGTGGTGTTGGAGAAGAATATTAAAGGTACCCCGGAATGCTTGAAGAACAAGTAAATCTATGTTGGAAGACGTACAGCCAGAATGCTCCTTAGAGGCTGAGATGGCCAGACATCATCACTTATACTTTGCACATGCTGTCAGGAGGGACCAGTTCCTGAAGCAGGACATCATGCCTGCTAAAGTAGAGGGACAGCAAACAAGAGGGAGACCCCTCAATAAGATGGGCTGGCATAATGGCAGCAACAATGGGTTCAAGCGTAGCCTCCATTGTAAGGATGGTGCAGGAGCTGGTATTGTTTCTTTTGGTTGTATACAGGGTCACTACGAGTCAGAACAGATTTGAAGGCACTTAACAACAATCTCAAAGAAAACTGATATACTTCACATTAAAATACAAAATAAGGAAAACCAGAAAGATTTAGTAAACAATAACACAATAGAAACGAAAATGAATTAGAAAACCCATAAAAAAAAACAAACAAAAAAAAACAGACTCCACGCTGAAAATTATGTGGAACAAAGAAACCAGCAGCACCACAAAAAAACCATAGCAAAGTGACATCAATCAATTCATACCTATTGATAATTTCACTGAAAGCAAATGGATTAAATGCACAAGTAAAGAGACAGAAAGGCACAGAATGGATAAGAAAACAGGATCATTTAATATGCTGTCTACAGGAGACACATCAAAAAGATGGAGACACAAAAGAGGGAACAACTTTACAGCAAGGATCATTCCCACTCTCTCCATACACAGAGTAGACAGGGATGGGCAACTTGGACATTGGCTACTCAAAATGTGGTGGCTACAAAGGCAAGAAGTGACTGGCTTACGAGCTTTCAAGAGGGAGCCTAGATCCAGAGGGAGCGGAGGAAGGAGAATCTTCACTGAGTAGTATTCAATCTGTCTAGGGGGGGGCTGATGAAATGAGATGGGTATAACACTCATGCAGCACAATAGCAAATAATTGTTATCAGGACTGACAGTAAGGGTTGGAAATGTAAAGGTAGACATTTTGTAGCAAGGAGGGGAGTGATTAACTTTTCAGTCCAGGAGCTGAGGTCTCTAGGACCATCAATGGAGAAGAGCCGAGAGCGGGACCCTACCCAGAGAAGCAGTTATGCCTGAGATGGAGGCAGAGATGACGATGTGGAAAGATGGAGTGCATGGGGACTTTGAAACCCAGAGAGGGAGAGGGGCTGTGTGCTGATGACCGGGGGACAGGCTTGCAGGGTATACCCTTTGGTTGGTTGATGATGCATCGAGGGGATTGTAACCATGGCAATGAAACGATATACGATAGGATGAATGTAAAGCTAATGTTCTCACATGTAAACTATCACATATTCACAATAAAACATTAAAAAAAAAAAAGATGGAGACAGCCAAAATACCTATCATCAGAAGAATGGTTAAATAAACTTTGGTACATACATACAAACAATGGATTACTACACAATGTTGAAGAATAACAACGAATCTGTAAAACACCTCACAACATGGATGAACCTGGAAGATGTTATGCTGAGTGAAATTAGTCAATCACAAAAGGACAAATGTTGTATGAGATCACTATTGTAAAAAGTTAAGAAAAGCAGACCAGTTCTCTATTTTGAAAACGTACTTTTACTTTGCTAATAAACTCCAAGTGTTTGGGGCAGAGGGGTGGGGTGGGATGGGGAGTGAGGGAGGGGTAGTTAAGAAAAGGTTTTCTTGATAAAATAAACATTCTATTCTGGTTTACCAAGGAGCTCTGGCAGTATAGTGGTTACGAGTTGGGCTGCCGCAAGATCAGCAGCTCGAAACTACCAGCAGTTCCACAGGAGAAAGATGAGGCGTTCTGCTCCCATAAAGATTTACAGCCTCAGAAACCCTGTGCAGGGTCACTATGAGTCAGAACCGATAACATGATACTTAACAACAACAACAACATTATGGTTACCAGAGGATGGGATGTGGGGAAAGGAATGCAAGTTAGTAAGTTGAGGTAAATACTGTTAACTTGGTACATGGAAGGGATTGCAATCATTATAATGAAGCAAAGAATATGATTTATTGAATGTAAAACGGATGATCTACACTTTAAATCTTCACTCAATTCACAATAAAGATTTTGAAAACAAAAAAAGAGAGAGATTACAGTGTTTATCAAATAAAAAAACTCAAGAGATAGACCATATACCACAATAGATATAGGGAAAGGATAAATTAGTAAACTGGTATACTGAACTGAAGGATTCTCTCTAAAGCTCTCTAAAACTAGTCTGATACAGCAGCCACCAGTCAGTCACATGTGGCCATTGAGCATTTGAAATGTGGCTCATCCTCATGGCGATGTGACAGGTGTAAAACAGTATACCGGATTTTGAAGATTTAGTACAAAACGGTAGCAGATACTGCAACAGTTTTTTAATTGATTACATGCTGAAATGACAATATTTAAGATATATTGGGTTAAATAAAGTGTTTTTAAGACCAATTTCATGAAAGCACTCTAGATGTGAAACAAAGATTCACCTCTGTTTTTTTGAACTAAACCCCCAAATATGGTATATTATAATTATTTTACCAATTAAAAAAAATCAAACTAACTTCAAATGTTTCTTTTTACATTTTTAAATGTACTTGTTAAAAAAAATTTAAATGTCTTTTGGTCCGGACTGCTCTACAACATAATACAACAGGACAGTGATCAAAAGCATGAAAAGTTAGACATGGAAGGCAGAGAGAGATGAATCAATATTTGGCTTCTTTGCAGAAGTGGAAAAAGAATGCAGGCGAAGAAACACAAAAAAAAAGAGGAAAATTTCCCTGAGCTGAATAAACACAGGAGATCTTCTGATTGAAAAGACTGCCAGTGCTGAAAGCAAGCATTCCCACTGAAGTCAGAATGCTTGCTCTTGGGTCAGTACTTTACACTGGACCGCACTTACCAACAACATTTAACACTATCCGGGAGATTCTCATCCATGCAGTAGCACAACAAACAAAGGAGTGATACAAAAGAATGAAGAGACTAGATTTCCCTATTTGCAGATGATATGTTTGCGTATATACTTGGCCCTCTCTCTGGGCTTCTGAAAGGCCTAATGTATACTGGGTTTCTCCATTTCTCCCCTCAAGTAAGGGGTAAAAGCAGCACATATCAGTACCTCCTCCTTCCCAGACAGGCCTGTTATGATCTATGATGAGCAGCTGACATTAAGCAGACAGTAGAATGTAGAACAAAGCCTTTGCTCATCTGGGTCATGAGACAGGTGCTTACCGGCGGATGGCGTTGGTGAACTCTGCAGCCAGCTCACTCTCATTGCACGCTGTCCTGAGCTCAGCTAGGGACAGAGATGGGGAGGCAGCATCAGCACACTCCTGAGAAGAGAAAAAGCATTTTGTTAGACCGGAAACCATGACTGACTCCACACTGGAAACTCACATCTATTTTGCAGCCAAGCACATTTGGTAAACAGTGCGGTAATCGCAGAATCATGAGGGTGCAGCAGCACCTTAGATCGTACTGAAGGGTAAAGTCTGACAGCAAACACAAGAAAGACTCCTTTACTCCCAGAAATCTGGTACTTTTCCAGGCTGGTCAGTGGGCAGTGATGACTCCTAGTGTGTTCTGGGTACTCACTGTATGCAGGATACTGGGCTACACGCTCCATATACATTAACTCATTTAGTCATCAAAACAACCTGCTTAGGCAAGTACTTTTCTTTTTAAGTTGTGGTAAATATGTAAGTAACAGAGGGGCCCTGGTGGCGTAATAGATTATGAGCTGGGCTGCTACCTGCAAAGTTAGTAGTTCAAATCTATCCAGTCACTCCACAAGAGAAAGATGAGGCTTTATGCTCCTGTAAATATTTACAGCCTATGAAACTCTAAGTAGGACCACTATGAGTCAGAACCAACTCAGTGACACATAACCACCAACACCACACAGGTAACAAAACATCTGCCGTTTTAACAATGATCAAATGTGCAGTTTAATGATATGGATTATACTCATCATAGTTAGCCTAAGTTCTGAGGCTCACAGAAAAAGAGGAAGACCCCCAATGAGATGGATTGGCCAAGTGGCAGCATCGGTGGACACAAGCGTGGTAACAGTAGTGAGGTTGGCCCAGGATCGGGCAGGGTTTCGTTCTGCTGTGCATAAGGTCGCTATGAGTCGGTACCAACTCGATGGCACCTAACAACAAGTTCTGAAATAACATCATGCTTAATAGAAACTCAATTTCCCTTAAGGTTGAATCCTATTTCCCCCTCCCTTCCACCTACCTCTCATAACCAATCACCATAAACTTTGGTCTCTATGCACTTGCCTATTCTAGATACTGCATATAAGTGGGGTCATACAGTATTTGTCCCTTTGTGACCCATGTATTTCTTTTAAGAATTTTCAACATTCATCCATTCTGATCTATGTATCAGACTTCAGTTGTCTCTAGGCTGAGTAATATTCCATAGTATATAAGTAGCACATCCTGTTTATGCATTCACCTGTTGATGGGGACTTAAGCTGTTTCTACCTGTTGACTATTGTGAATAGTACCACAATGAACACACCGGTGTACAACTATCTATGTTCCATTTTCCAGAGGAAGAAACTAAGGCAAAGAAAAATGAAATTGCTCCAAGTTCATGGAAATCATGGAATCAGGATGCAAACCCAGATCAGTGTTCTTAATCACTAGGTTAATCCTCATGCCATTCATAAAGAAGTAAGACATGTGAACTTCCTCACCTTTCCATTCCATTTCTCCTTGGGAAAACCCATCATTAGCTAAATTTAGGACTTTTGCTGGGTTGAATGTAATCATTGAAAAAAAAAAAAAAAAAAGAAGAAACAAGGGTGAGGAAGGAAACACCATGTTTGATGGGACCCTAGACATCATCTAAACCAAATCCTCTCATTTTGCAGATGAGGAAATGCATGAGACAGAACTCCTAAATCCCAGCTAAGGCTCTATCTGTAAAGCAATGATCACACCTGGATGAATGCTCTTCTCTGTAAGTAGACAGAGAGCAGCAGCTACACTACATAGAAAAGTGGCCAGAGGGGAGGGGTGGGGTAGGTGGGTGGGAAGCACTAATCTGATCATTTACTCAGTACACACTTACTGAGCATCTACCACACCCCAAACCTGAGAATATAAAAAGCTGGAGATAAAAACAGTAATTAATAACATGACGTGATGAGAGCGATAAAGACGTATGATCCTAGTGCTAGAAATCCAGATGTCAGGAGGCTACAACATCTCCCTCAAGCCACTCTGAGTAAGAAATGCTGCTGGTGCCAGGGGTTCCCTCTGCAGCAGCCCTGCCAGCATGTGAACACCCCTTCCCCTTTCCTTTACCATCCCTGTCACCCTGACTGCCTTCCCTCTCCTTCTCTATCTTGCTGTCCTTGTAGACCTAGCACAAGTCTCCCCTCCCACTAGATTCTGTCTAGATTCTCACAACATCCACTATTATGTATGTCAAGTCCCTATGAGACTGAGCTCCTTTGAACATTTCCTGTGACTGTGAGCTCCTTAAAGACAAGGTTGTCGTTGTCTGGGAGTCCCTGAGTGGTGCCAATGGTTAACGTATTTGGCTAACATGTTTGGCTGCTAACCAAAAGGTTGGAGGTTTGAGTCTAATCAGAGACACCTTGGGGGTGTCAAAGACCTGGCAATCTACTTCCAAACAATAAGCCATTGAAAATTCTGTGTATTCATTGAAAAGTCCTACTCTGACACATTTGGGGTTGCCATGATTTGGAGTCTTTGTCTCACCCACTGAACGTCTTACTATAAATAAAATTGATAACATTTGTCGAATATAAATAAGAACTATAAGAGTCTGATGCAACTTGGATAAGTTTTGGGACCTAGCTGTGTCGACTTGATGGAATTTTTATAAACAAGCACAAACATCCAGCCAGAATGGATGTTCTAGACCTAAATTTGGTCTGCCACCTGTTTCTGCATGCTAAGAATGTTGTTTACATTTTTAGAAGCCTAAAAAAAAAATCAAAATAATATTTTGTGAAATTATATGAAATACAAATCGCAAACTTATACGAAGTCTAAATTACAGTGTCCATTAACAAAGAGCATCTGGAACACAGGTACATCCTAAGGACTCAGGTACATCCTAAGGACTTTGGCTTTCACGCTACAACTTTACAACGGCACAAGTGAGTTCTCACGGTGGAGTCCATGTGGTTTTCCAAGCCTGAAATTTTTATTATCTGGGCCTTTACAGGACAGTAAGTTAAATAAGTCTCTCTCTGGGCAATTTAGTTGGGAGTATTTGTTGGTAGATAAATGAAAGTTTGCTGACCCCCCCACCCTAGACTGCTTGCCTTTATCTGTCAATCAAACCCAACCTAACCCAACTCAACCCAACCCACTGCTGTCTAACTGATTCTAGCCCTATAGAACACAGAACAGCTCCATAGGGGTTCTAAGGACATAAATCTTTACAGAAGCAGACTGCTACCCCTGTCTCCTGTGGAGTGGCGAGTGGGTTCAAACTAATGACCTTTCAGTTAGCAGCTGAGTGCTTAACAGCTATGCCACCAGGGTTCCTGCATCTACCAACAAACACTCCAAAATAAATTGTACAGAGAGAGAGAGTTATTTAACTTTCCTTATTGTAAACTGAGTAGATCCTCAGTTTAACATTCAATAAATCTATTCTTTCATTTCATTTCGGTGATTACAACCCCTTCCATGTAACATCACTGATTTCACTTCCTCCCTGTGATTCTTGTTTCCATTTCACTTTCTTCTCCAACCATTTTTAATTTTGTCCTTGGGTAAATGACCTTGAATGGTTGACCATTCTATGGTATGCAGACCTCACCTACTGCTGCTGTCCTCCCTATAGACTATTCTACTTGACTGAAAATTTAGCCACGAGAATGAGTTCAGTTCCAGACCTGATGTGCGACCAAGGGCCACAGTCTCAGGTTGTCCTGGTATCTTTCTGACTAGTAAGCCTGGTGGTTTTTTTTTTTTTTTTCAATATTATTTTGAATTTTGTATCACATTTTCGCCCACTCTATCCAGGACCTTCTAATGTGATCCCTTTCAGAGAAATTGGTAGCTGGGCCCTATCTAGTTCTTGTAGTTTCAGGGTCTTAGAAATTGATGTTCATGTGCTCCAATTAGTCCATTGGGCTGATCTGAAGTATCTGCAGTTCCTCACTCTTATTTTTTTCTTCCAGGAAAGATCAATAGTTGCCCCTTAGACAGCTGCTCATGATCTTTTATTAAGATCCCAGTTGCTACTCACACAAGCAGGATGTAGAACACTGCCTTTATGGACTGTGTTATGCCAACTGACCACAGTGTTAGAAGGAGATTTATTGAACTAGTAAATGGTTCTAATACTTGACAGACAAAATAATCCAGTTTATATACTAATTTCATTACCTGAGCAACATAAGGCACTTTTGTAACAGCTTCTTACTTTACTGTTTAAAAAAAAAAAAATCATTTGGCCTTTTCCCTAAGAGAGATTTCTGTACTTTCAAGCCACTCCATGAAACACAGTACTTCCAGCAGTCAAAATAAATACCAAGAACTAAGGGAGAATGTTTAGTTCACAGGCCTTCCGGCAGGAACACAAACAGTCCATTTCCACCACACTCTAGGGACACACTTGGGAACACTGCGGCTCTGTCTCTTGGGCTCTGTTGGAAAGTAACCACTATCCAAACGCAAAAGACTAAAAAAAATGTTTAAAGGTGCTTGCCTGGAATAGAACATATCATCTTCCTGAGCGCCAATGCTCCCATATGAAACAGCACTGTGTCTGTCGGCCACAGCCCACCTCACCCTTGGACTGGACTCCCCAGGCATCTAGCAAACAGCACCACAGTGCCCTCACCACAGCTCCCTTTGTCAAGCCCAGATTGGATCAGATCACTTCCCTGTGGAACCCTCTCTACCCACTTCACAACAAGGCTGGCACCTCTCCAGCCAATGGGAACAGCTGCCCCTTCCTCCAGCTCTTCGCACATGCTGCTCCATTGGCGGAGGGCATGCTTTCTTCTCTACACTAGGTCTCAGCTCAGAAGTTTGTTTCTTCCAGGACCTGTAGCCTCTCCAATCTGGATTCTGTGCCTGGCACTGAGTGGGTCCTCATTCAGCCACTGTGTTGTGATCATGTTTACCCATCCATCTCCCCCAGGAACATAAATTCTTGGAAGACAGACCTTGTGCTGTTCACCATGTAACTGCCTCTAGCACTTCACCTAAGGCCTGGGCACACATTTATTGGCTGGCTCGAAGAGTGGAAAGCAGCTGGAGTCTTAGGGAGAGCTGGTCCAGATGCGTGCCCGGGGCTGTGTGCTCCCTTGATTCCTTAGTAGGTGGGAGTGGGGAAAGCATAGCTGTGACTATTTGTTTAGTTCTGATTTACGGTGACCCTATGTGCATCAGAGTAGACCTGTACTCTTCAGGGTTGTGAAGGGTGGCTTTTTCAGAAGTAGAATGCCAGACCTGTGTTCTACGGAGCCTCTGGGTAGACTTGAGTGCCCAATGTTTCAGTAAGAGCAGAGTTTGTGAGTGCATTAACTCTTTGCACCACCCAAGGACTCCTTTATCTATATAGGGAGTGATGGGTCACAGCCACGTGGCATTGGCACTGCTTTGTACTCCCGGGCACACAACTCTACTGCGGACTTCACTGTTTTCATGCCAGCTCAGCCAGGAGAAGTCTCTTATTAAGATAGTAGCATGTCGGTACATGCCCAAAGCCCCAGCCCCAAACAAATTAGGAAGAAAAAATACAGAGTCGTTTCCTAGGGTCCAGAAGCTCCTTTTCTCCCCTTCAATACAGTATTTGGAATAATTCTGAGACACAGGGTGATGGAATGAGTTTGGATTCTAGAAAAAAGACCCGTGGGCTGATGGGAGTGTTTGAGTTTGCAAGATTCTATCACCACACGTCCCACTCTGATGATTTACTCTGTGTAATCTCAGGGCTTGGCTTCCATCACCTCTGCCTTCAGGCTGCTCACTGCTTGTCACCTCACCAATGGCTAGAAATGTCAACTGAAGTTGGGGAGGCAATGCAGCCAAGAGAAAGGAGCCACTAGCTAAAGGCGGGGCACATCCTCATTCTGCAGCTGTAAATTAGGAGATACCTCATATTCTTTGAGGGGGCACCTCATTTCCCTTATGTAAAATGGGTAGCTCTCCCTTTCTCATAATAAATACAGTGCCTGGTACAGAACGCAACATGATAAGTGTTCAACAATTGTTGGCTGCTATGTGAGGGATGATTAGAAAAAGGAGGGGAAACCTATCAGACTATTGGGCAACATCGCTGATTGCTCCTCTGATAAGAAAACATTTCAACATAAAATTGGGTTGTTCCTTCCGTCCACCCCCTCTCAAATGTGTGGCTTTGGCTTCCTTCACTGCATTCAATATGTCATCTTCTTCTTGGATATCCAGAATTCCTATGCAAATCAAAACCCGAGGCAATGGGAGATAAAGGTGTAACCGGTGGAAGTGGGGCAGGCAATGAGGGCTCAGCCCAATGGTCCCCAGTGCCCTCAGCCCTACCTTTCCAGACTTGTCCTTGCTACCACTGCTGGTGGAGCTAAGGGACCTCATCCGCTGCTCCTTCTGCTCCTCAACCTCAGACTTCAAGTGCTCGATGTGCACCAAGTAGGCCTGCTCCTGGGCCTCCCGAGTGCTCAGCTTTAGCTCTAGAGCCTTCTTCTCTTTCTCCAGCAGATAGAGCTGGGCCTTCAGCTCCGCCATCTCCTCCTGCAGAGCAAGAATCAGCATATGAGGTGGAGGTGCCTGTGGCCTGAGAACAGGCTTGGGTTGGGAGAGTAGATGAGTGAGAAGCGGACTGTGGCTGGAACTCATGGATTTGTAAGTTACCACTTTGAAACCAGAGATAAAATGGTAGAGAAGAGACAGACAGATGTCTCCATGTCTCTGAAGGACTTATAGGGGCTATGTGCTTTATTGCTCTAAGAAGTAGGCATCTAGATCCACCTTCTTCCCTCTTGCAATGGGCACACCTGCCTTGTGGGAAACGTCCTGTGGCCTGCAGAGGCTGAGCTTTACCAGTCCAAGAGGTCGTGAAGGAGAGTCATCCATACAAGTTTGGGTCTGATTTGTTCCTATTTCCCTTTTCTGCCTTTCAGCTGAGCAGGCTGGTGAATAGTACCGCCGCAAAGATATTATTTCCCAGCTCTTGTGTATTCTGAGGGTCCAAATGTAATCAAAAAAGCCCATCACTAGTGACCATTCATCAGATAACTTCTGGCAGTACCTTAGGGAATTCAGATTTGAATTTCAGTCGAGAAAACGAGACAATGCTATCCTGGGACTAGGAGCCAGATCACACTGTCATTTATTGAGCACTTAGCACATGAAGGAACTCGCTTAATCCTGCCAGTTTCTCCATTTACAGATGAGAAATCAAGACATGGAGAGTCAAATCAGCCTGCCCAGGTTACTGGGTAAACTGAGAAGTCAGGGTTTGAACCCAGATTGTCAAGCTCAGAGTGCAGGCTCTTAACCACTAAGCTACAAGGAGGCTTCAAAAGGGTTGTAGGAAAATGGGATTAAAACATAATGGAGCTGAGAATGAAGCATCCAGCAGATATGAAATGAGGGGAGATACATACCGACTCGATGGCACCACCAACAACAACCTTTCCCTTCCTTCAAGATAAGCGCATGCATAACCTTAGCTCCCCTCACTCCTGCTGGAAGGTGAATTGACCTCCACATGGCCTCCCAGTTCAGCTCCCCAGCTGTCTCTATGATCCATGACTTCAAAGGATTCTTCACAAAGTTGAGTTAGTACCTTGAGAATGAGCCACCGAAGTTACTTATTCTGTTCATCCCTGACCTGACTCTTTAGAGGTAATAAGCCACAGGCCTGGTAGTCTCTCAGACAGCTCAGCAGACCCTGGAGTAAAGTTTGCACTTTCTAGTGTGGGGATATACCTAGGATTAAAATACTCAGGGCTGCAGGGTGATAGACCATGGATAGGGCAAAGTGTGTCATGATTACGCAGGAGATCACACCAAACCATTTCTAAAGATCAGTCAAAAAACCTGAATGAAAGGTGTTTCCACACAGAGAGACCTTCTCATCTTTTCCCATCAGAAGCAAGTTGTAAAGCTTCAAACAATACTGCATACTGAGTTAATGTGGATGGAGAGTCATTCCATGGACAAACATAATTAATTGGAAGCTTGAAAGAAGGAACAAGGAGCCTGTAGGTGTCAGAAATTGAGAAGGGAATTCTTCCAGAAGAGAAAGGCAAGGTGGAAACCGCACTAGCCCACAGAAACATTTGGATGCTGGTTGCTACAACCTGCAACTTTAAGTCAATACAAGGACAGGGCCTTGGCTTCCGTGAGGCAGAGCACTAAAACTGAGTTCCTACATGAGCTGGGACTCATGGAATGCCTACAGACCAGAAAACCTCCTCTCTGGATCGGTGACAAGAATACTTGTCATCTTTCCAGCTCTGGGTGGGGAAAGAAGGAAAAGTCTCTTAAAGAATCCAATCCTCAAAGTTGTGCCATGTGTAGGTGTGATACATAATAAAAACCAGTCCTACACCTTTGCAACTCATGGGTTGCTACAGACCTAAACATGGAACTACTCTGTAGGGACATCTGCAACCGAGGACTCCCACGGACAACACAGTGTTCACTGACAGTGAGCTAGTGCATACTCTTCCCTTGCCCTCTCTCCCTGTGTTGTTGGGTTCCGATTCATAGTGACCCTGTCTAGGATTTCCAAGGAGCAGTTGGTGGATCTAAATCGCTGACCTTGTAGTTCAAACCGACCTTGCAGTTCAGTGCATTATCTTGCAGTGCCACACCATGACTCCCTATCAACACACACATATTCCCTCTCAAAGAGGAAAGGATGCTTAACTAAAGTGAAGATTAACACTTTACAAGAAACCAGAAATAACAAAATATGAAAAACTATAAACACTTAAAGAGATAAAGGGATAGATGCCATAATGGAAGACTATAGCACTCGAAGATGAGTGGATTTGAAAGGGAACCAAGTAGATCATCTAGAAATGAAAAAGTGCATTCTTAAGATCATGTTTAAGAAGGAAAATCCTCAGAAAGTTAAGTTTCTTAGAGTTGCCTCAGAGAACAAAGTGGTGAAATCCAATACAATGTGCTGGTAATAGATTTGGTGAGATGAACAGATACTCCAAACACATTGGTTAGGGCACATGGGAGAGCAGGGTGACTCTGATGATTGTCTTTCAGTCAAGTCACAGGAAGGAAATTAAGCCAGAATGCTGACAATGGTGCCCCTGGATCATAATATTGTGGATTATTTCCCTACCAGCTTTTAAAATTTCAATTCTTCTAAAAAATTCTAAGAGGAGTACACATTTCATTTTTAAGTTGTAAATGGAATATTAGAACTTTAATTCTACCAAATTTCTTACACATTTGCCCGTATATCAAAAGGAAATTCCCAGTCTCTGACCAAAGGAAACATCACGACAGGAATAAATAATGGAGGGCAGCCTTGTGACTCATACCACAGGGTACAAGTGTATGCAAAGGAGGCCCGTTGACTGGGGACAAAAGTTACTGTGGTTCTAAACCTAAGGCCTGGCTCATGGCCAGTGAGAGGAAATTCAGCCAAGTTGTATGAAGAGTCTTCAGAGGAAACAAAATTCAAGGTCTGAGCTGAGTGGGTGGACCTGAGACAAGCTAGTTTGGAAACAAAAGGGGTGATTCCTTCATCTATTACAACTACCCAAAGTCCTCCCAGGCTTCACTAGACTGAAGTTAGTGTAGCCATCCAAGGCAGGGATGTTGAGCAAGTTACTCCCAAATATGTCAGGGGTGACTGCACTTATGGTCCATCCCTGTCCTCTCCCCAAGGGTGGTACAACGAGATGGAGGGTTTGCATTGTTTCACAATTCAAACCTCAGTGAATTTTCCCCAAGGACAGAGCTGGTCACAACAAGAGACTGGTCACGAGCTATTAGCTCAGCATACTGTGGCTCAGTCTGGCTTACTGCCTTGCCTCCAGTGTTTATACTGACTGTGACAACCCCCTTCCAGTAGAACACTCCTTCCTTATGTCTCAACATTACAGAACCCGGGATGGTGTCAATGAGGCCTTTACTCACAGGAGCACAAAGTTTGGAAAGCAGACTTGGGAACATAAATTCTATCTTTTCTCAATCCCTTGCTCCCCACAGCAAGAGGACCTGGCAACAGGGTTCTGGCCTGAAGGAAGAGCCTAAGCAGGTGCCTACTGTCAGTGGAGGTCTGCTGTGACGAAGCTGCAATGACAGTGTCTGTCTCCTGGACAGGGCCATGTTCTTAGCTTCCATCTTCAGAGACGAGCAAGTTGAAGGTGGAGGCCTAGTGCCTGGCACCCTGCCCAGAAACAGACGTGTGTCCAGCTGGATGGATGGTAGTTTATCCACTTCCCAGCCTTCTGAGAAAGCTTCCTCTGCCTTAGAAATACCAGCAGATCACTCAGCCAGCTGGGAGAGCAGCCCAAGATGTTTCCAGGAAACGCTGACAGGAACAGCACTAGCAAACATTCACTGGAAAGGCGGAACTATCAGTGCAGACGGAACACAGTACCAGAAGGGAGACGCTGTCAGGAAACCAGGGCCCTTGTCTAAACTCTGCAACTCGTCTCACCCTGCACTTCCCCCTACCACAAGGCAACATGTCAGCCATTAACCCAGGGCACTATGAAGTACCTTTAAGCATTTTGGAGATTGGGGTCATTTTACATGGACAGAGGTGTAACTCAACTATTATGGATTGTATCATATCCCCGCCCCCTCCCTCAAATATGTGTTGGAATCCAAGCGTTTGTCCATGTGGAAGTAATCCCATTTAGAAATAGTTTTCTTTGTTATGTTAATGAGGCCATAGCAATGTATGATGTGTTCTAAACCTAATCACTTCTGAGTTATAAAAAGAGAAAATTAGGCACAGAGGCGGACACAGGGAGAAGACAGATGCTATCTGATAACAATGCAGGCAGATGGATCAACAAGCTGAGGAAGTCCAATAATTGCTGACAGATAAAAAAGAAGGACCAACCTCTAGAACCCCCGTCTGAATTTGGACTTCTGCCTTCTGGAACTGTGAGAAAATATATATCTGTTCTTTATAGCTACTCACTTGAGGTATTTCTGTTACATCAGTACTAACAAAAACACACACTCCATCCTGTAAGGTCTGAACTAGATATTTCAAAGCTGTGACAAGCGAGGTATCCTCTGGAGCTCAGCTCTCCCCTTGGTGAACACATCTGGCTCAAATGACTCCCAGGTACACTGAAAATGAACTATTCTACACACAGACTCTGGCTCGCTTCTGAGGAGAGATAACTGCTCATTCTGCTTTCAGGGGCCTTTTACGCTGCCTTTTTGTGACAGCCTAGTGGATGGGCATTGGGTCCCACCCATCAGTCTACCTTCATGGCCATCAGCTCCTGCATCAGCACGGCATTCTCCAGGTCCAGTCTCTGGCTGTCTCCCCGGGGTTTGACATCGTAACTGAGGGGGTCGATGTGAATGCTCTCCAGCTCCAGCATGGTCAGCTTGACAGCAGCCCTATCATTCTTGAGTTGCTGGATGTAATCCTTCAGCCTCTGCTCGTCTTCCTTAGTGAACTCGGTATCGCAGCTACTGGCTGTGGAGCTGGTTGTGCTGAGAGGAGAAAACACACACATTTCTGTCATTCTAAATATGTTTCTTTATCCTTGCTCTTTCCCAGATCTCCAATACCCAACATTATTTAGCTGGGTTTTTTTGTTTTGGTTTTAAAGCATTCTTTATGGAACAGTAATCAATACCTTCTTTTAGGAAAGAAATGATGTGAAGAATAACAGGAATAAAAATGTTTATACCCTTGGACACAGGAGCTCTGGTAGCGTAGTGGGTTATGAATTGGGCTGCGAATCGCAAGGTCAGCAGTTCGAAACTACCAGCTGTTCAGCGGGAGAAAGATGAGGTTTTCTCATCTTCCATAAAGATTTACAGCCTCGGCAATCCTGTACAGGGTCGCTATGAGTTGGAACCAACTCCACGGCACATAACAACAACAACCCTTGGACACAGTATTGTAGGCCCTGAAAATGAATTCTAAGGAAATTATTTTGCCTAACTGAAAAGATGCACACACTGAGCTATCTCATGAAATACGATGTAAAACAGGATTCCAATGACAGTACAAAACGATGGGAAATGATGTGGTCATTATAATAATAATAATTACATTGGTGGAGATATTTTATGTGAGGAAATAGGATGAAATTTCCTTGCTTAAAGTATTATTGTTGTTGTTAAGGGCTGTTGAGTCAGTTTCGACTCACAGTGACCCTGTATAGGGTTTCCAAGGTTTTAAATATTCAAGAGATGAGAAAGCTTCTGTATCCCATAAAGTATCATGAATAATAATAAAACAAGGTGGACATGTGGACAGGACTTAGTGAAGACATGTTAAGGGAACAAAGCAAGCTGAAGACTAAAAGACTAAAATATGTACCTATATATGTGTGCGTATGTGAACATACTCACATGTATGTTCACATACACACACGAATCCACTGGCAGCAGGCTCACTGGGGGCAGGAGCTGACAGGAACAGTGGTGGAGGATGTTTTGCTCTGATTAACTTGTGTTGCTTGAATCTTATACCAGGTAAAACATAGGTGCAAGACTACTATAATATTAAATTAAAAAGTGGGATGTCCCAGGCTTCCACAACCATTCCTCCTGTATCCTGTTCTGAATATAGTGTCACCCGCAATCCAAGGGTTTCCAGACTGAACCCAGGGCTTGCAATGATCCGTGAATGTTTCTGGGGGGACCAAGACATCGCTGGAAGTGTGAACACAACGAAGAAATGGAAGCCAGTGCTCTCAACAGGATTCAGGCCTTTGATGATAAGGTTACCTTTGAGTAGGCCTAAAGGAGGTGAAAAAGGGAGCTATGGGGATATTTGGAAGAAAAGTGATCCAGCCAAAGGATATGGCAAATGCAAAAGCCTTGAGGCAGCGAAACTGGCCAGTGAGAATGAGGCTGACTGACAAGGAGTCAGGAAGGGGAGTGAAGGAGGAGATATGGGGGGTAGACTGGGGCAGGGTCACATCACATAACATTGTCATATCACGTAACATTAAGTTTGTATCTCCTCTAGAATTAGAGTGGGAGCCACTGGAAGGTTCTTAACAATGGAATGACGTGATCAGCCTTCTAGTTCAGCAGGGTCCCTCCGGCCATTGTGCTGAGGTGAGATGCAGGGAGGCAGGGGCGTAGGCAGGTAAACCCCTTAGGAGACTACTGCAATAGTGCTGGGGAGAATGGTGAAGAGAATGGTCAGCAGGGAGCAGAGAGGTAGTGAGAGGATGAAAATAGCAATTAGTAATCATCATCCTTTGTTTTCTCAAGAGAAGAGGAAATGCCCCCACCCCCACTTGGAAGACTTCAGGTGTTATTTCATGATGAAATGATGCTGCTTTAAAGAAGCACCAAAGAGCCAACAGTACTCAGAGCCCCCCACACTGGTAGTACAGGTGGGGTGAGAGCTGCCGAAGGAGCAGGACTTGTCCAAGGGTCTCATCATCACAGCAGCTCTCAAGAAAAGCCTTTCTGCAACAGCTTTGTGGTAGAGATGCCTCACACGAAACCACTTAAGTTGCACTCCGGGAGTTTATTTCTCAGATGGCCAACACTGAGGGATGGGACGACAGCGAACCCACAGACAAAATGAGCAATATAAAGAAAACAAACTGGTGTGGCCACATTGTTCACACACACACAGCAGCATTCCGTAGGGTGGAGTGGAAGCCGAGCTCAGAGTGCTGAGACAGCAAGGGGTTGTGGGTAGCAATCCTTGTCTTCCAGGGAGCTGGGATGAAGGATCACATCTGAGATCTTTCCCAGTGAGGCTGGAACGCCATCGCCTTTCTTTTCACGAAAAGGTCATTTGAAAAATTTCAAACATATAGAAAAAAAAAAAAAACAGAGCATAACCAACTTCAATATGTCTACCACCCAGATGACATCTTGTGATATTGTCTTCAAACTACATTATTTTGGAAAAACACATTATACTTGAGGAACATTTTGTTTCCTGTCATTTGAAAAAAGTTAGCTACAAAATTCAAACAGCGCTGAAAGCGACAGCTCTCCAATTACACAGCAGGCACTGAAGTAACAGTATTTCTTTTGGCTTTTCCCCATTTATCAGAATGGATCTACTCCAGGGGTTCTCAAAGTATCCCTGGTCTGGTATGTGGGGAAACTTGTTACAAAATGCACATTCTCAGGTCCACACCCTTCCCACCTTAGGGGTGGGCTCCATCAATCTGGTTTAACACCCATTCCAGATTAATCCTCACAATCAGAACCACTACACCACAGAATAAACCAGCATCGGCTGAGAAGCCTGTGAGGCAACTGAACCCACTCAAATTTTCTAGATAGAAATCACTATTCATTGTTTCTCTGCCATGTCCTAGCTCTACGGCCTAAAGTAACTTGCCTACCTTCTCTGGCTTCAGTCAAGTGTAGACACATAGAGTTCCTATCACCAAGTGTGGAAAGGATACACGGCACCTGCCTGGGGAGGAGGAAGTCTAGGCAGCAGCCTTCCTAACTACTTTTCCAATAGCCCCCCAAACACCCAACACTAGATTCAGGGATCCTTCCTAGGGAAGTTAGCCACTTACCACCAGGTCATTCAAGAAAACCTCTATCTGAGGGAGAAGAAAAGCTGCAAAGAAGTGAGTGTTCGAATAGACAGGATAAACTACGCAGAACAGTGTAAAAGAACATGCATGTTGGCGGGCAGGGACTGGAAGGTTCTGGGGTGGTTTGAAAGCATCTAGGACCTATGATTGGGGGCTGAGGAGGGTGGAGAGAAGGCTTTTGTTTTACCTTAACTCATATGGCTAGAGTTTTCAGAAAGGATGAAAAAGACAAAAGAACAAAAGCCCAGTCCACAGGTCCTATCCTACACAAAGCTCAGAGAATAATGTGTTTACCAGAACAAAGTTTAATTTCCAGATAAACCCCAGGTAACCGCATCCCCCCTCCTTCTTCCCTCTGTCCTTTCCAGGGCATCATGGGGACAGATCAGCTGAGGTTAATTACAAATCCACTTTATGCCCTTTATGTTCCACTGCAGAATATGATTATGACAATGGCAAAGAGAGGGGCGGTCACTGGCCTTTTCTCTGACCTCCTGCAGACAAAGGCGCTGGCAGTAGGTCTCCTGAGGGTCTGCCATCAGCCGCCGGGCTAGGGTTAAGTCATCCATTAACTCTCCCGGCTTGAAATGCTGGATGAGCTCAGTTGTCTAGGGTGGGGGTTGGGGGTGGGTGGGGAATAAATCATTTTCTGGGCAGGGCTGTATTATGTCTCCTCTTCAGGGTGGGAGGCTGGCTATGCAAGGGACTGTGGGCAGAGTGTAGGAGAAGGCTGCAGATGAAGAAAACTGAACCCCCAGAATGTTGTTGTTGTTGTTGTTAGTGACTTCAAGTTGGTTCCAACCCACAGCAATACTACATAAGGTTTCCAAGGAGCAGCTAGTAAGCTTGAACCTCCGACCATGCAGCTCAAACGACTTTGCAGTCCAGCGCATTAACACACAGCGCCACACCAGAACGGTAGAGCGACACATTTTTTGGCTTTTTGCTCTAGTTCTACAAAGAGCTCGGGTTTCTCCTTCTGGGGATGCTATCTAAGCTCACATCAGGCTGATGGACTCTGAATCTGTTCACTGCCAGTGGATCTTTCCTAGTGAGAACCGCAGATCCGCTGCCAGCTCACAGCAGGCTGCAGACTACCCTACTCTTGTGCCAGCCCTATGCACTGAGTGATGGGAGTATTCATTTCCAATAATAGTATTTCTGTCCCTTTCTACTAGATCCCACTCCCACCCTCAAGATGACACTTCACTCAGCTCATTAAAAGAGAAACTCAGTTTTCCTTTAGTTTCTTTTGCTCATTTTAGTAGAAAACTAAGAAGGGTGCGCTTCATTTCTTTTGTCTCAAAAATCATGATGGATTTTCCCTAAAGCTTTTAATCAAAGCACACTGATAAAGCTAGTCAGTCACTCAACATTACCTCGTTACACTGTCCATTAAAAACATGGACTTTCTGCTGAGGCCATAGCTGTATTTTCAAAAAGAAAATAACACCATTCCTGGACTCCTGCCAACAGAACCAACTGAGGCCACGGCTATAATTTTATTCTCCTGGCTGGTAACTGCCCCTCTGGTCCTCTTCTCCCAAACCATTAATCCTCCTGTTTGCTTCCAGAAATGCATCTGAGGCCTGACACTCAGGGTTCCGTTCGCAAGACCTTGAACAACACCTGACCATCAAACGGATTAGATTTCCCTCTGTTAGTGGGTTTCAGTGGGAGGAAATGAGACATGGTAATCCATGAACAGTTCCCACTCAAGCTTGATTTTTCTTTTCCATAAATTTCAGTTACAAACAAAAGTACTGTAACTATTATAATGATAAAAAGGTATGATGGTTTGGGACTTCTCATGGATTTCATATTTAAGATACACTCATGGAAGCAACAGTGAAGAAATCAAACAATTTACTGCATTGACAAATGTGCTGCATAAGACCTCCTTAAAGTGTTCAAGAGCAAAGATGAAGTTTGAGGACTAAGGTGGACCTGACC